AACTTTTAAATACCTTGGCACCACAATCAATGACCAATCGGATCCACATCACGAGATAAAAACCCGAATACAAATGGCAATACAAGAATTTGTGAAATTCAGACCGCTCCTATGTAATCAAAAGCTAAATTTCGAAATACGCTACAGAATGGTCAAGTGCTACATATGGTCAATCTTGCTTTATGGCATGGAAACGCGAAAAAAACATCTATCAACAAACTTGAAGCATTTGAAATGTGGTCATTGAGAAGAATGATGCGCATACCTTGGGTGGATACAGTTCGAAACGATGACGTCCTTAAGAGAGCCGGAGGGGAAAGAGAACTCTTTGAATTAATTAAAAAACGCAAGATTGGTTACCTTGGGCACATATTAAGAGGAGCAAAATATGAAATACCACAGTTAATCCTACAAGGGAAGATAGAAGGTAGGAGAGGAGCCGGCCGCAAACAATTATCCTGGTTAAGGAATATTAAAGAATGGACAGGAATACACAATACAGGTGAGCTGTGTCACGCCGCCAAGAACAGAATTCTAGAAATGAGATAGTCGCCTACGCACTTTGGTGTAAGGCATGTTAAGAAGAAGAAGAGTTTTCACTCGTTCTCTAATCTTTCAGTATTTTATTGTGTTTAATAATTTTAATAATCAATGTTGTTAATTGTATTAATAAACCAACAATTTTGGTTAACCCTGTAGAAATACATATTCAAGTGTTTCGATCGTTGCAAACAAGATAAGGAGACCTTTTAAATGAGCTATCACGTGACTTCGGTTTGAATTTAAAAAAATCGTCGATTACGTCATTATGCCGACACTAATGATGTAATGTCCAACACATATATAGCAGTTGATGGCCTTTCAAAAATTAAAGCTGACGTGTTTTAAGATTTTTTTAAAAAGTCGTCTGTCTCTGAAATCATAAATCGATTCCGTATATTTGCATCATTCTGTAGCGAGATTAAATAAAACGAGCGGTTCGAATTTATATAAATATATTTATTTATAACTTTACAGTTCGGTACTATCTTATCAACTAAACTAACTCATAACATCGATACATATACATACCAAAAAGTTTTATTCTCGAATCTTCTGGGGTAGTCCCACCTCTAATTCGTTGTTTGGCGCTCATACATCGCGAATGTTCTCGAAGCTTGACATGCTGTTTCGAGATGCAACCATTACACGGGCCACGCTGAATGCATGTTCGTAACAATACTGTATATTTATACTGTATAAATGAAAGCTTCCTTAGGTAAACTATTTATTGAGGTAGTTGTCCTAATATTGATAAAGGCACAACATACAGGGTGAGTCATGAGAGAAAGAGTCACTCAGGAAGCATATCATGTGGCCACTAAACATTGTCAACTCCTTTTCTTTATTAATTAACAGGGTGATTTGTGTAATTAACCATTTATTTTATTTTACTGTAGTGCATATACGGCTTATTTAATTATTTTAATTTTTGCATGATACAGTACACTACTATCAAGCATTCGACTGGTATTAGCTAAACTAAAAAATTCCAGGACTGGCTTTGAAAAAATTAATTTAGGGATTCGTATTAAATATTACACTCTGTATATATTTTTTTAAAAATGCAATAAGTGATTTTTAAACTACATAAATAGCTAATGAAAACGACATATGCGACAATGTTGTCGCACTTTTATTAAATTTTTAGTAAACGATCAAATCTTACCAAAAATAGAACAACCATAATGAAGTATCAAATTATAAGGTAATTATTTTAAACAAATTTTATAAATTTCAAACATTTTAATTAAAATGATAAACTGAGTCACTGCACAACAAAAAACAGTAACTATTAACAATAACGAAAAACAATTTAAAAAAAAAACTAAAAATATGTACATAGTTACGATAAACCAGAGATGGGCATCGACACGTCGACTTTAATTGTCGACACAGACGTGTCGACAATGTCGAGAACGTGTCAACAATGTCGACAATGTCGACAATGTCAGCAACGTGTCCATAATGGAAAAAAGTGAGGTTATGTTATGAAATTATTCAGTTGTAAACTTTGAATGTGATCTGATCTGATCAGAATCAAAATGAGTGGCAGAAAACTGAATAAAAACTATGATATATTATCATTCAAAGTATTAAAGATAGAAGGAAAGCACGCGGCTAAATGTTGTGTATGTGGAAATGTGATAAAAAATACAGCTGCAGCAAGATTGCAAAGTCACAGGTAAGAAGAAATATTTTAATTAATTTTAGCTGGATAGCTATAGAGATTTATTCTCTGAAATTGATATTTGTATCGGCTGATAACTAACCCCGTCCCGTACTTTCATTTTAAGAAACGTCTGCAAGTTAGATCGTGGCAATGGTAATCAATCCAATAATGAAATGTCGCATGTTTCGATATACGAAAATACTGGCTCAGACACAGGTTTTACACCTACAGTTAATCCACAAGTGAGTATATAGGACGTATGTTCTACTACATATTTAGCAGGGGCGGATCTAGAAAAAATTTTGGGGGGAACTTTTTGAACTTACATTTATCTATAATATAAAAATGAATCGTAAAATGTGTTCGGAGCCGCATAACTCAACAACGCATGGATCACCATTTCGGTAGTAGTATATTGGAGAAAACATGGCGTCAAAAACCGTATAGCCATCTAACGGCAAGAAGTGAAAATAACGCACTATATATTATTGTAGATTTCTTGATTACTATTTAATTAGAATTCGGAAGGGGACATAAATTGCATCAGTTTTCACCCCAGAATTTGTATTCTGAGGTTTTCACGTTGTTGCATCTCTATATACAGGGTGTCCCATTTAAAAAAACACCAAGTTTAGTATTTTACGGCAAAAAACGGATTGGCCTATTGAATTAAGTACAAAACGCTGTATCTATGCCAACTTCTGTATACAGGGTGTCCGTAGATCCGCCCTTTATATTTAGTCACCTTAGAGTTTCTTTTTATTTTGACTTTTAGAATACAACGAACGGTAGTTACGAAGTTATGGAAGATGGTTCGCTAGCTATTGTGACTGGAACTTCACCTGAAAACATGCTAGATGGAATTATAGAAAATTCATTAGATACCGATGCCGCCTTATTGGAATTGGAAGAAAACAATGGTGTAGCAATTCAAGGCACTTATAGTATTGTTGAAAATATGATGTTATCAACTACTGATACTGAGAGTAGTAATTTGACTAACTTAAATACTCCAACTTCCTCCAGCACAAGCTACACAAGCACGAATAAAAGAAATTTATTCGCTACATCTCAAGCTAGACCAGCCAAAAAATCAAAGAAAATCACCGACTATATGGACATATTACAAGAGTATGAAGAGGAGAAGATAAGCACTGCACTAGCCAAATTTATATTCGGCTGTAACTTACCATTTACTGTGGTAGAATCACCTCTCTTTAAAAATTTTATAAAAACGATCCGTCCTGCTTATTTAGACAAAATTCCTGGCCGGAAAAAACTTTGTACATCGCTTTTAAATAAGTGCTATGAAGACTGTATTGAGATTTCACGTAAAAAAGTGGAAACCGAGTCAGTCATTTTGTGTGACGGTTGGAAAAACTCATCTACTAATTCTAAAACGATTGTGACAATGTTGCATAGTGCAGACGGAAAAAATGCCTTTCTTGATGCTTGGGATTTAACCACGGAGTCTGAGACTGGAGAAAAACTTGCCGAAATAATAACAGAATCTAAAAAAATTGCAAAAGAAAAATACGATGTAGATGCGTACGGTATAGTTTCGGATAATGCTAGTGCAATGATTAAAATGGGATCCCTCCTCAAGCACAACATGTGGCACTCTACGTGCAGTAGCCACACCGGCAACCTTTTAGCCAAAGACGTGCTGGATAAAAAGTTAGTCGACAATGTGGTCATTGTTCTCAAAGAATTTAAGCAACCAGATTTAGAAAAAATGATAGTTGATAAGGGAGGGCGCAGAATCCAATTGCCGGCCGAAACAAGATGGTGCTCTTACCGAGATTCTTTCAAAAGTCTCCTAGAAAATCTGGTATATATGAAACAAGTAGCCGCTGTAACGAAAAAAAAGATTAAGCCGAAAGTCAAGGAATTAATCTTCAACGATGAATTTGTGGATGAGATTCAACAGAACATAGAAATTTATGAACCCATTTGTAATCTGATCAATGCTTGTCAGAAATCTGACACATCTGTAGCAGATGCCGTTCATCTGTGGCTCAATTTAAATCTGCCAGATAACCTTAAAGAAAAATTGAAACACAGACAACAAATGGCGTTAAACGTGTACGCATTAACTGCGTACTATCTGCATCCGAAATATGAAAATTCCAAGCTTACGTCAGAGCACACTGGTAGAATAACTCAGTTCTTACTCAGAAAGTTGTGCAATCAGGGCATAGAAGAATGGGACAAATTTAACACTAAATCGGGTAAGTCTTTCAGACAAAATTATCGCTCTTTTGATTTTTAATATATTAGGTTTACAATTTCAGGAATATTCTCAACACTTTGGGAAAAAGGAGTTGAAAAGCCTGTAGTATTTTGGCGAGTGGTCAAACTGGAATGCCCAATTCTTGCTAAAATGGCTCTCAGACTTCTAAAAATGCCAGCCTCCTCAGCTCAAATCGAGAGACTCTTTTCAAATTGGGGACACATTCACAGTCTGATAAGAAATAGATTAACGTTCACTAATTCCAAGAAATTGGTACATATTTATGTTTCATTAAAGGGAGAGTATCCTGATAAAAATAGTTATGACCTGGACGAGGAAGAAATTGTAGATATGGACGGGGAAAGTACAACTATTTGATGTATTATTGGTTAAATGTTTTCTTTGGTTAAAAATTAGCAAAACCGCAAAATGTTGTAATGTTTTTATTATGCAGTCTCTGCCAAAGCACGAAGAGATTCAACACTGTTTCAGTAATTATTATACTATAATTATTATAATAAAGAGTTAGTAAAATTTAAAAAAAAAGTAAACGAAATGTTAGGAAACAAGGTAAGGTTTCAATGTACTGAGATATGTTTGATTGTGGTTTTGAATCTTACCTCGTTTACTGACGTTTAGGTTTACGTTTCTTTTTAATTTTTTTAAACCTTTCTGTAAATTTTACGAGTTTACGAGTAACGATAGAAAATTAAAAATCTATGAAAATTTGTTTTGCTGGTTTTTTCTGGTTTTGCATCTATATGGTAATATTTTAGATTCATTACATTGCATTACTCTATCATGAGGTTTGCACATAATAAATTGTCTCTATATGATTCTATTTAAAATTCATTTACACTTGAAAAACCTGCAATCAAACAATTATGGAATATCCTATGAATTTGACAATTGCAAGTTAATAGTGAGGTTAAAAGTTTCAAAAGTTTGAGATTATTTGGTCTCTTTGCAACTTGTTGAAACATTAATGCATACTTTTTCAATAAGTCAGCGCAGCCAGATTAACCTAAAATTTCAAATTAGTGCGCACGGAACGTCATTCTGATCGTTTGCTAATTGTCGACATACTCGACATTGTCGACATTGGCAACAAATTTAAATCACTCGACATCGACATGATTGTCGACATGTCGACAATCGAATTGTCGACATGACATTATCGACACCGCCCATCCCTGCGATAAACCCATAAATTAGAACTGAAAAAGATACAATAATGGTAACAAAATAAAAATAATTCAAAATAGATTTTCGAAATGGAACCCTGCAGCCTGTACACATTTTTGTTGCCGAATTGTTAATTGACGTATTGAATTACGGATACTCTGGAGATCGTTTCTAATAGTATTACAACAATGTATAATTCTATCAATTAATTGTTGTCGGTTATTAATATTCACTGCGTAAACTAGTTGCTTCAATCGTCCCCAAATATGGTAATCAACGGGATTGAAATCAGGGGATCGTGAAGGCCACGAAATAGGACCTGCACGTCCTATCCACCTGTTGCCATAAACAATATTGATATGTTGTCTCACTGCCAGTAAAAAGTGTGGAGGTGCCCCATCATGCTGAATATACATCCCTCGGATAGCAACGTTCCCGTTGGCAAGCAAATTCGGCAAAATATTTTATAGAAAGTTCAAATAGACCTGCCCTGTTAAAGGACCATCAAAAAAGTCAGGACCTACTAATTGGTTATTTATGACACCAATCCACACGTTAACCGAAAACCTTAACAGAACGACGTTCTCGAATAGCATGGGGATTTTCTTCTGCCCACACATGCGAATTTCGTGAATTATTTATCCCGTCTCTGGTAAATTGGGCTTCATCTGTAAATAGTGCCCTGTATAGCGTTGGTCGATTATTGTTAATCCATCTACAAAATTCCAACCTATCGATCTTATCTGTAGCATGTAGTCGCTGAACCATCTGAATGTGATATGGGTATAGATTATTTTTTTGTAAGACTCTACTTACTTTTGATTGAGTAACATTGAGTTCTCGACTTACTTGTATAGTGCTTATTGTAGGGTTCATAGTAACGGCGTCCGTAATGTCATCTTCCTGCGCTTCATCTACATGTCGCTCTGTTGTTCCACTAGGAAATGTGCCATTTTCTCGCAAATAATTAAAAACTGACCCAAATGTTGGATGACTGGGAGTTCGACGATTAGGAAGTCTCCTGCGATATTCTCTACTAGCAGCCCTACCATTCACATTACAGAATCCATAAACAAATATTATGTCTGCATATTCTGTGGTCGAAAAGTGATGTGGCATGATTTGAACGAAATTAACAAAAGCTCTACCAAAACTAACACAATGTAGTTAACGTAGATATGACAGAAGAAATATGTATTCTTGTACACATAAATAACAATTGATAATGACAATAATGACAATGGGTATAAAATATCAAGAAACGTCAAACGGTCAACGCCAACCTTCATTTTAAACTTTTTTAGATTTATTTTTATTTAGTACAGTTGATGCAATGTATATTATTTGACATAAAATTTTAATCATTTACAATCAACAAAAACTAATACATACAAGAGGTTTGACTTTTTAATCAATTTAATTTATTATTTATTGAAAATAATGCCCCAATACGATCTATGAGTAAAAATTTAAAATTTAAAAACAATTGATTCTATCGTAGAGACAAGTGACAGTAAAGATGTTCATTTTCTACGTATTAGATTATGTTGTAGGAACTCATTTTAATTAAAATGTTTGAAATTTATGACATTTGTTTATAGTATATTACATAACGAGAGTTGTAAGAAGCTTATTACATGCGAGTAAAAAAACATAAAAGGCTTATGTGATATTACCCATTTTTATAAAACTGAAGCGTAATTTTTTTTATTACGTGCTAGTCATTACGTGTCAGTATCTGTTATGATGCATTTACTTAGCATCCAAATAGTAGGTAATATACAATTTACTAGTAAGAGAGTAAAAAAAACTAATTACCTTATAATTTGATACTTCATTATGGTTGTTCTATTTTTGGTAAGATTTGATCGTTCACTAAAAATTTAATAAAAGTGCGACAACATTGTCGCATGTCGTTTTCATGCTTATTGCATTTAAAAAAAAATGTATACAGGGTGTAATATTTAATACGAATCCAAATTAATTTTTCCAAAGCCAGTCCTGGAATATTTTAGTTTAGCTAATACCAGTCGAATGCTTGATAGTAGTGTACTGTATCATGCAAAAATTAAAAAAATCAAATGAGCCGTATAAACACTACAGTAAAATGAAATAAATGGTCAATTACACAAATCACCCTGTTAATTAATAGGAGTTGACATTTTTTAGTGGCCACATGATATGCTCCCTGAGGGACTCTACATATGGTAGTAGTATGTAAAGTTCCTTATGACTCACCCTGTATATTTATATTTCATGTTGATCCATTTGTAAAAACTGCCCTCAATAGGCCAGTATTTGCGTTTGATTTCAGTAAAATTTGTTTTAATGATGCTCAAAACTTCACCGTGATTTTCAAAATAAAAGTATAAATTTCCTGTAAAAATTTATTTTCAGTTCATATTATGTTTTGTCATAAAGACAAGTGTATTGTCCTTAAAGTTTATTAGCTAATTTGAACTAATATGTAATATGATATTATTTTTAGGTAAGAGTAGCATGCCAAAAGCGAAAAGCGGTAATGACCTTCCAAATGCAAGAACGGTACGTGAAAAGTGCCTTCCAGACGATGCTTTGTTCCAACGTGAACAGGACACAACCCGTTTTATTACCCCATATTCTCAGTTTGTGGCCCATGATTTGAGCGGTGCTCTCTTAATGAGTACGTATATTTCTCCTTTTAATAAAAAAATCTGTTTTATTTGGATTTTTATAGATAAGATCAATCAAAGGATTATTAGTTACTGCAATAATTTTAAATTATTGCCTAACAAAAATATTTAAAAAAAAAAAAATATAAGAAACAATCATTTAAAAATCAAATTTGTAGGAGAACATATCCCAAAACTTAATAAAAAATACTATTTTATTAAAAGAATGCATGAAAAAACAATAACCCCCAAGACAAGTCTGATCAAAATCAAGTGTAACCGATTATTTAGGTTATTTGAGAAAAAAAAAACATAAATATGAGACTTAAAACAAAAAGTTATTTGAGAAAAAAAACATAAATAAGAGACTTACAATAGAAAGAGTACAAAATCTATTTTCAGCATTTAAAAATAAACAAGTTTAAAGTGAATACACTGTTCTGGAGAAAAGGGATTTAACACCTTATCTTGCAGGAACACGTTTATGAGAAAATCCAAGGAACCAAGGAATAGTGAAAAAGCAGCAATGTAGTTTTGTTAGTCTAAACTAGCAAATTAGAAAAATGTACACTTCCCGTCATATAAAACTGGTACACTTTTTTTCCCAACGTAAACCTTTGTTCAGACTTAATACAATCGTTCGTGAATCAATTCGTTGTTTCCATTACAGATAACGGAATTTCAGTAAATTTAAATAAAACGTAAAACGTAAAAAATAACGTTCAAAAATATATAAAGTTTTTAGATAGGTATTATTTTTATTATTAACAACAAAAAACCGTATCTAATAAATTTAATAACCAGAAAGAGGATTAAGTTAATGTCCAAAATATTGAACAATATTTAAACTTGGGGTATTGGCACAGGGAACATTGGAATGGATCTACTGTAATTTACTAAAAAACTAACATTATACTTTATCCTACGTAGATTATAAACTATAAAACATCCGGTGCGAAAAACGCTTTTCAAAACGTGACAGTATTACATTATCCTCTTATAACTGTAAAAAATCATCTTATAACTGAAAAATGCTGGTTTAGTATCTTCAGATGTTATGAGTGCGTGAAAACGTCCCAAACATATCCGAACAATTAAACATAAAAATTAAACATAAAAATTTCTGCCATCCTCTTGTATTTTAGTGAATTATTTTAGGGGAGTACATCCCAGGCTGGACGGAAGAAAGCCAAAAACTATATGACGAATTTTTGAAATCAGAAGATCCCGAAATTGGTGACAACTTACTGAAGTCACTGGACTCAACAAGACTTAATAAATGGAAGTCTACCGTAGAACATATTGATTTCTCACGTTCCAGTCGAAAAGCATGGGGACTGATCCGCAAACTGGGCGAAGCAAGCAGAGCGCAACACTTAAACAGATCAACAATTGAGCCAAATAAAATAGCCAATAGAATAATTGAGAACTCCCGAGCTCCATCTGAGAAAACTCATACATCTACCGTAAAAAGAGCTCTTAAACAACTTAAAGCAAATACTCCCGCAGCATCAGAATACTCACGTGCCTTCTCATTGGATGAAATAAACGAAGCACTTAACCAAACTAAAACAGGAAAAGCAGCAGGCTTCGATGGAATGTATCCTGAGTTTATAGTCCGCACTGGTACAAAAACGCGACAGTGGCTCAAAAAATTCTTTAGCGACATTGTGAATACAACTGTGCTACCCCCAGAATTCAAAAGAATAAAAATTATCGCAATCCAGAAGCCTGGCAAAGACAACAAGCTGCCTGAAAGTTACCGGCCTATTGCCTTACTCAGTTGCTGTTATAAATTACTAGAACGACTTTTATATAACCGAATATGTAACACCATTGAGGATGCTGTACCAATTGAACAAGCTGGATTTAGAAGAGGACGAAGTTGCTGTGACCAAGTGCTATCCTTAACTACATTTATTGAAGCTGGCTTTGAAAGACGCGAAAAATCTACCATAACATTTATAGATCTCACGGCTGCCTATGACACGGTGTAGAGAGAGGGCTTTATTTATAAGCTGATGAAAATCATACCTTGCCTCAAAACTTGCCAGCTGATAAACAATCTACTGACTAACAGACTGTTTCAGGTATATATGAATGATGCACAGAGTAACGTTAGAAAACTTAACAACGGCTTACCTTAAGGCTCAGTGCTAGCTCCTTTATTATTTAACCTTTATACAGCAGATATACCTGAAACAAAATCGAGAAAATTTGCTTATGCTGACGACCTGGCCATTGGCTTCCAAGATAATAGTAAAGAAGCAGGAGAACGAGCTCTAAACGAAGACATATCTACACTAAGTGACTATTTTAAGAACTGGCGCTTACGTCCTAACACAAGCAAAACTGAAACCTGTCTCTTTCACCTTTTGAATCAACTTGCGGGCGATACTCTCAATGTAACTCTAAATGACACAGCTATCAAACATAACAGCAACCCCTAAATATCTAGGCGTCACACTTGATAGAACACTCACCTTCAAAAGTCATCTTACAAACGCAGCCGGTAAACTAAGAACACGAAATAACTTAATATCAAAACTTGCTGGAACAACTTGGGATGCTTCTGCAGATACTCTTCGGACCTCTGCTCTAGCTTTGGTTTTTTCAGTGGCAGAATATTGTGCACCAGTATGGCTAAATAGTGCACATACAAGCAAAATCGATGTCCAACTTAACCAAACCATGAGAATAATCACTGGAACAATAAAATCAACGCCAGTGAGATGGCTGCCTACTCTGAGCAATATTGCTCCACCAGATCTACGCCGTACAGCAGCATTAGTGAGAGAGTACCAGAAAATTGTAGCCAACGTACAATTACCAATACATCAAGATATCCAGACATCTCAAAGAGCACCAACGATGAGATCTAGAAATCCCCAATACGATCTGCCGAAAAATTGGTAATTCCTATGATATACATAGGCAATGGACAACAAGATGGATGCCAACAGTAGAATCGGACTATATTAAGATATCCACCCCAACTCAGGGTTTCATCGGATCAAATCTGCCCCGGTCCATTTAGGCAAGGCTTAATCGTATACGTACCGGACATGGTAAATGTGCTGATTCGCTGTTCAGGTGGGGTCGTGCAGAAAGTCCACAGTGCGATTGCGGAGAATCTAGACAGACCATAAGCCATTGTGTTTCAGACTGCTTGAATCGTGCCTACCGTGGAAACCTCCAGGACTTTGCGGAATGTTCCCCAGAAGCAATTGAATGGCTATGTAAATTGGACAATAATATTTAGTGTCATTCATTCTATTCATTCTATTTTTACTATTTTTAGTGTTTGAATAATATATATAATATATATGTGTATATTATTGTAATTGTATTTGTATATTTATCGTACTGTGAAAGTCCATGCGCTAAATAAATAAAAAAATTTTAGGGGACATTTAAAAAACATAATATAATGCAGATAGAAATTTAAATTAATATAAAAAAAGAACTTACTTGCATGCTAATTCAAATTTTTTATTCAGAACTGTTTTTCCTTTATAATTAACACATGAAATGTCTTTTATTCTGCTCTGCTTTATAACGTTTCTCTTATATTCGTTGTCATGTCTCATACCTCTTTTCCTGTGTTTTACTGTGGTTTGTTCACTACTTACATGTTTTTCATTTTCATGTTTTGCAAACAACAATAAAACTTCAAATAGAAGTAAGTTTTTAATGGTAAATTCTATCAACAAACTTTCGGTACCCCTATGGGAGCAAAGATTTCTCCTATCATTGCAGCTTACGTTATGGATTATGTGTTAGACTCAATCATTCCTTTACTATCCTTTCAAATTCCATTTATTAAAAAATATGTTGATGATATCATTTTGGCTATACCCAATGACAAGGTAGATAAACTCCTAGATACTTTTAATAGATATGATCCCTACATCCAGTTCACTATAGAGAGGGAAGATGGTAATTGGTCCGTCCCCTTTCACGACATAAGGAGGATCAGGGAAAACATTAACATTAAAATAGATTGGTATCAAAAACCGACACATTCTGGTACTTATCTACCACTCTTACCATAACAAATTCTACCAATTCTACCAAAGTCAACTTAATCAAATAGATGACAAATAGAGTAATAAAATTATGAGATCCTTCATTTCATACAAAAAACCTACAAATCCTACAGAAACTTTTTATTACAAACGCTTATCCAACACAATTAGTGAATAAGATTTTGTTTAACACAATCCATAACGAAGATACTTCACCTTCCATTGTGACTAACATCGTGACTAACCTGATGTCTTAAGTGGGAACCCAGTCTCGGATACTCATATCAACAAATATTTTTCATTACCATATTTCAGAGATATCACTCCGGGGTTAACCAGGATTCTGAAAAGTGTTGAAAATAGCTTTGGTAATAATAATAACAACATTAACTTAACGTGGCTTGTAGATCAGCCCTAACAATGAATATTCTTTATTCTAATATAAAAGATAAGACTTCCATAGATAGGCTTAGTAACATTGTCTACAACATTCCATGCCTCTCTTGCAGCAATTCCTACATCGGCCAAACATCTCAATTATTGAAATCACGTATTACACTACACAAAAGTGATTCTCAACTTCACCCTGACCGCTGTGCCTCAGCCAAACATGTCCATTTGACTGGCCATCTCATGGACTATACCAACACTACAATTCTCCACCGTGACAACAATAAATCTAAAAGAGAGTTCATTGAAATGTCTTATATTTTGATTTCTCACAGATAACTAACTTGACTGATTTATCCATTAACAACTAACCTACTTTAATAATAATTTTCATTAACTAAAAAAGATAATATTCCCTTGCTTTTCTTAGATACATCTCAATAAGAGATTATTATATTAATACATGAACAATATA